CAACTTTAGTGTATATGAATTTTTTTCAAAACAAAAAGTTGGAGAAAATATGGATGTCACTAAGACTATAATACAGTATATGAAAAGCATGTACAAGTCCACAATGATATTCAAAAGAAAGAGAGGGAAGGAAAGAAATTTCTAAGAATTATAGAAGGAATAACAAACTTTTATAGAACTACCATTTTGAACTTCTCCATAAAAATTGATGTAGGCAAGGATCATCACTGGCTGCTAAACACTGGGTAAAAGATTGCTGGAGAAGAGATTGTAGAGTCTCAGTGTCACGCTCAGACTTTTATTTATCACAGTAAAGAAAAGGTACTTCTATAGTGACAGGATCTGACAGACCAAATGATCAAACGTAACATTTCTGGTAATAGGACAAAAGAACATTATGTACCTCCTAAGTCCTGGTGTGGCACTGTAGGATAAGCACTCGACCGAAACATTGGTTTGAACCTCAAGATCAGCAGCTCAAACTCACCAGCCTCTCCTTGGAAACCCTATACAAGGTAGCTATGATTTGGAACCCACTACAGCACTTAACAACAACAACAATGTGATGCACAGGACCCCTGGATGGCATGAAAGTTAAGCACTCAGCTACTAACAGAAAGGTTGGCGGTTTGAATCCACCCATCGGCAGAACAAAGGACTGCCAATCTAACTTTCAAAAAGCCACAGTCAAAAAAAAACAGAAACAAACCATAGTCATTAAAATAAAATCTATGGAACACAGTTCTTTTCTGCAACAGATGGAGTCACTGTTGAGTAGATCACAAAGTGTGGTGAAAAGCAGATGAAACTATACACTACAGGGAAGTAAGTAAACATAATAAAGCCTATACATACCTTTCTTATTGGGCAATCCTTCCCTGCCTGGTTGAAGAATTGTATCCTGAGTTGTTTCTGACCCTGAATTGTAAACTGTTACTTTCCTAATAAACCTGTAATCCTGGGTATGGTCTGTGAGTTCTGTGTGGCCACTGCAAGGAATTAACAAACTCAACAGAGAAGTAGCAAGTACCCTGGGAAGAACAGCTGGTGTCAGATTTGGTAAAACGCCTAGAGATATGTCTATATATAGCTCTATAGTCTCAATTTTTTTCATAAGATGAAAATATGTTGCCTTTTGTTATAGATACCATCAAGTCATCAAGTTGGTTCTGACTCATGGCGACCCTATTTACAATAGAACGAAACACTGCCCAGTCCTATGCCATCCTCACAGCTGTTTCTACATTTGAGCTCATAGTTGCCGCTACTCTGCCAATTCATCTCATTGAGGGTCTTGCTCTTTTTCACTGACCATCTACTTTACCAAGCACGATGCCCTTCTCATTTTATCTATATATAAAAGTAATATCTGTAATTTTTTTAATTCAAAAGACATAGTATAGAAAGTAAAAGTCCTTCCCAAATCCATCCTCTCAGAAGTCAGAACTTTAACAGTGTGGCATTTAGGTGTCTGTTTTGCTTTGGGAGTGGGGGGATGTTTGTTTTTAATATACATGGAAGCACATGACAAAAAATGAGAAAATTCTCTGTGTGCTGTTGGTTAATTTGGTTTTTTCCACTGAACAGTATCTCATGAAAATCTTTCATGTCAATGAATATAGATCAGTCTCAATCTTTTTAATGACTAGTCAACTTGGCAACAACCTTGGAGCAGTCAGCTGTGACCCAGGCTAGTTCAAGAAGTCACAGTTTTAGGGGAGTATTAGGGTAGAGGCCAGGCTGCCAAGAAATGAGGAAAACACGAGTGAAATGGGAAAAACAAAAGGCACAAGTCTAGCAGACTATTGTTTTGAGAAGCTTGGTGGAAATTTTAATATGTACAGGGAATATCGACAATAATAGTAAAACACTATTCACCAAAAGATTAATAGTCACCATCTCTCGGTAGTGAGACTATAAGTCATTTGGTTTCTTTCTTTTTATCTTTATTTTCTAAAATTTCTGTAATGATCAAAAATCACTTTTGTAATAAAACAAAGTCATAGGTGTTAAATGGCAACCGCTAGAGGAGGACATGAGGGTGGGAAGATTTTTCCAGGATAGGAGTCTTGAACATATTTCTAAAATTAGGAGGAAAGTATTAGGGAAAAGAGAGCAACTAAATATGTAGTAGTTAGGGACATAACTGAGCTACTCAACGGCAGCCATACCACACACAGAGTGAGAGCTATTAGACTAGGAAGAGTCCTACTGGAATGCAAGAGAAGTGGGGAAACACGGGTGTACATCTACCTCCCCATACTCATACACCAACCAGCCTCGAAAGGAGTAAAAGGCGCAGGGAGAGTGGCCCATTTTGGAACACTCCTTCTATGCAATGGAATGGGAAGTTAAGTGGGAATATGGGGAAGGGTTTCTAGAAGGGACAGAGAGACAGCTAAGGTTAGAGGAGACAGAAATAGAAGACTGTCCTTATACGTGAGAGACTGCCCTGGTATGTGATAGTCTCCAGAAGCTTACCACATTCTAACTGCGGAATTCAGAGTTGGGGGTCTACTGCTGGTGTGGGACATATGAGCAAAGTGGTCGTTAAGAGTACAAACCAAAGAATGGTTAAGATCATGAAACATGGGAACTAAAGACTGGGATGGGGTGGCTCTCATGGAACAGAGAAAATGAAAGTGTGAGAGAACTAGAGGTCTCCCAGAGGTCACAAAGCAGGAACCATTGAGGTTAAACTGTGATTAGAGAAGGATCATGGAGTTTAGTTTCAGAGGTGGCCACATGCCAATGACGACTAGGTTCAGGTGAGACGGGTAGAAAGGGTGGCTGAAGGAGGCATGGCCTTCCACGGGACATTGGGACATGGAGTGGGAGACTAAAGTCCTGTAGAAAAACAAAGAAGTAGGAGACTAAGAACAAGAGAGCAGGAGCCTCAAAGGAAGAGGCTCCTTCCTATTCCTGGCCCCAGCCTAACACCTGCCCCTGGACCTAGTCCCAGGCTGTCTCCAAAAGGTGTGCCTGTGGTTACAAAGAAGTCAGTGTAGCAAAGCAGGGATGACTCATTGCAGAAGCCGGAGCTCAGTGCCAGGGTACAGAGCAAGTCTGTCTCCTTTGAGTATAAAGGTTAGAGCTTAGGAGGACTGTGAAAGGCTTTACCCTTATTTCAGGCCCAGCCTATGTGTGTACTTGTGCATGCATGAGTATGTGTGTATGCACGTGTGACTGCGTCTAGGAAGGCAACAATCACTGGACTCAGCAAACCAAAGTTCGTAAAATTTGCAAGAAATATCAATTCGCTCCTCAGTGGAGTCTTCATAATGGGGTTGTTGTTCTTGTGAAATGCTGTCGAGTTGATTCCGACCCATAGCGACCCTGTATGGGGTTTCCAAGGAGAAGCTGATGAGCTTGAACCGCCGAACTTGCAGTTCAAATGGCTTTGCAGTCTGGCGCATTAACCCACATAATGGGGTGGGGCAAGCTATATCTGCACACACACACCACTACGAAAGTGCAAACTTAAGGAAACATATCCTTATTCATCAGTAAGATAAATTTTGTTCAAGACACCTGGACTGTATAATTTATTCTATTTCTTGTGAAGCTAGCTCCCATAGTGGGGGAGGTGAGGTCCACAGCTTGGATAAGTATGATCTTATTAGATAAGACCAGAAACATGAGGTTAATTCCAGGGTTCCCAGTTCACAGTCTTTCTCTCCTTCAATCAGGTGACCATCTTTGTCATAGAAATGGACATTTTCTTCCTGTCTACCCAGAACCTATCTGTTAAAATGTAAGTTTCCCCCTCTTGCTCTACTGCTAGTCCCCTTAGCCCTCTCCTTGCCCCAATACTCCCATTTCTGAAGTCTCAGAACTATGAATTATCCAGAAAATGACAGTCTCCTACCCATATTATCACTGTCTTGCTAATGATTCTTAGTATCCCTCTACAGATCCTGTGCTTTGCATTTAAGGCTTTGTGCCAATCAACTACAAACTACCTGACCCCCACCCTTTACTTCTCTAACACAGGCTGAACTTTTTCCTCCACAATCCAGCTTCATACAGGTGACTTCTAGCTACACTCTCCACTTCCACTTCCCCCCAAATTGGCAGCCCTTTCAGCTCCTCTAAGTCCCATCATTTTCTCAAGTCCCATCTCTTCTGGAAAGCCTTTGCAGACATCACTGCTCTGCACCCCACTGCTTAAATTCTGAGCCCAGTTATGGGCACGAAATGCTCACTCATTCTCATCCAATCTTTTCCTCGCCCCCTCACAGCTGGGGGATCCAGTGCAGGGCAAGACACAGAGCTCAGTCAATCCATGTTGTTGATTAAAACTTGGACACACTCCCAAAGGGTGGGAGTGGGGCAACTGATGCCCTCCAATCAGGCTAAGCCCAGGGCATCCTTCAGCCCAGCTGCACCACACCTCCTTCAGCAAGCCTTCAGAAACTCTAGCCTGACAGAAAGAAAGGAAGTACAGCCTGAAGCGGAAATGCTGCGGGGAGAAGGGGTGGGCAGGGAGAGGGAAGCAGGAGGAGAGAGAAGGAAATAGAAAGAAGAGGAAGATCTGGGAGGGAGGCTCTAATCTAGAACAAGATGTTTTCTCAAGGGAGGTTAAGTATTAGACCTATTATTTCATTCCTAGATGAAGGTACTGGCAAGAAATGCCCAGACAGAAGTAACTTGTTCAGAGGTGCCCAGACAGCCAAAGTAAGCGTTACATTAAATAACCACCAATCTCCAGGCTTCAATCCAGAGCACCCATCCTAGGACCCCACTAACTCGCCATGGGAGTCCTAAGACCCTTTTTCTGTGGCCCATTCGCAGAGCAGTGCTTCCCTTGCCTCTGGAGGCTTTACCCGCAGGGTCATCCAACCCCAAAAGCTAGCCCTTAAACTAGCAAGACCTCTGTAACTCCAGACAAAAGCTTCTCTCTGCAAATCATGGCCCTGCCAGAACCATCCCCCTCTCTTTTAGAGTACTGCACTGTGAAGACAGAACTGGCAGGGCACAAGCTGCAAAATTCTCCTTACTTTCCGACATCTCGGCATAGTCACACAGCTCCTCAACAGCTGTGCTCCGTTCCTACCTCTATGCCTCTACCCATAACATTATCCTAAAATGTCCTCTCTTGCCTTTTCTCCCAGCCAAGTCGCATCTTCTTCAGAAAGTCTTGCCTCATTTTTTTCCTATGGCCGCGGAAAGTCGGCCCGGCACTCGCAGATCTCCCAGTCCGGGTTTAGGGTGTTAGGGTTTGAACCGCCTGAATCCTCACTCGGTTACCCCAACCCCCAAACAAGAAGCTCCTAGAGGCAAGGACAGGTGTCGGTTCCCAAACACCTCACACCCATCCTCATGACCCGCTCCTGCCAACACTGGAATGAGCTACATCCAGCACCCCCAACTCACTACCCCAAAGCCTTGGTGGAGGCCAAGCTCAAAGCCAGTGCACCCATCCCCCGCAACCCTTAGATAGCTCCTTGTCTCAGACACTCGTGTCCAAAGGTCAGCCACTCCGAAGGGGCGGGGGACGGTAGAACCTGGGTCCCACCTGCAGGCGTATCCTGTGGGGTCAGAACCCAAAGGAGGTGACAGTCCCCTCATCTCCATTCGCTCTCATGCCCAGTCGCGTGTGCCATCCCCTGGAGGTGGAGGCTGGTTTCCAGGGAACGCCAGGTGGGGCTGGGAGGGATGGAGGGCCCAAGGCCCAGGCTCCAGAATCCAAAGATCTGACGTCACCCAAGCCCCCGGTTCCTTCTGTGGGAGCTTGGAATAGGGGAGTCTGGGGACTCCATGGGTGATCTTTCCAAGACCCAGAAAGGGAAGGTCAGTCACCTCGACTTCCTACCTCTTTAGCACCTGGGCCTGTCCCCAGGCATCCAAAGGTGGAGTGTAGGGAGGTACAAAGATGGAATCAGCCGCACGCCCAGATTCCCTGAAAAACCCTCCTCAGGATCCCCAGACCCAGGACTCACCGGCCGCGGCCGCTCGGCTGCCAAAAGGCCGCAGCGCTGCGCTGCGCAGCGATGCACCCAACGCTGCGGCGCGGAGCCGGCAGCGAGCCGCTCGGGGGCTGGGGCGGGGAGCGCGCGCGCGCGCCTCCGACTGCCTCCTTGCGCGCTCGCGCTGCTGCAGCCTGTAACAGTCGCTCTCGCGAGACTACTACTCCTTCCCTAGGATCGCTTCTCTGGAGCTCGCGAGAAGGAAGGCCCCATCACCTCCACGCCTCCCGGGAGCTGTCCGAGGTGCTAGTTCCTGGCTCACGGCGGGATCAGGTGATCAGCAAGCATGACTCTGATCACAGCATGGCCAGAGCGTGCAAGGAGAATATCCAGAGACGAGAGCCAGACACCAGCCGTCGGAGCTTCAGCTTCCACATTTGTACGCAGGAACGTACCAGAAAGGAGGAATAAGAAAGAGCTTTGTGAACTGAATAACCTAATATGAGAGGCTTTTTAATCCACAGGCCTAGGGTAAGCTAGAGAGAACAAAGGACGAAAGATCAGACATAGGACCTGGAGTAACAGAGGTGAGACGTAAAGAGATAAGGACGCACAGATATATGGAAAGACAGACAGACATAGACAATATAGGAAAACCACCAACATACAGACATATAAACATGAAGACAGAAAGATACAGAAGCATGGAGAGATAAAAATTTAAAGGGGAAAAAGACATGAAAAGATAGAAGTAAAAAAATATGAAAAGGTAAAATATGATGAAGTGAGAAAGAAACAAGAAAAACCGATAGAATAGCTATACAAAAGAATAGACATGGCCCAATTTTCAGCCAAAGCAGTAGATAAGTATATAGGGGAGACAACACTAGTAAAGTATGCACACTAGGGAATGGTCAATCATTCAAAATCAAAAGGGCAACATTTACCTAAGGACAAAGTTGGGAAAGGATGGGAGAATAGGTAGAATGGAAATAGGAACCACAAGAAGAAAGTGGGATAATTATTATTGCATGGAAAGGATTGTAATCATTGAGATGAAACAAAGTGTATGATTTGTTCAATGTAAAGCTGATGATCTTGTCTGTAAACCTTCACTCAAAAGACTAGAAAGAAATAGGCTTAGAAGAGGCAGAAAAGAAAGTGATATGCAGAAGTAAAAGTTAAAGAGAACAGAGATCAGGGCAACTGTTAAAAGTAAAACAAACAAGCAAAAAATAATAACAGAACTATGAAGTCCTGGTGTGGTGCTGTGGATTAATGTGCTGGACTACAAGTTCAGTTTGAAGTGTAAGGTCGACGGTTCAAGCTCACCAGTCACTCCTTGGAAACCCTATACAGGGTCTCTATGAATATGAACCAACTCGATGGCACTTAATAATGCATTGTTGAGAGAGATCCCCTAGAAGAAATGGGTCTGGGGGTGGAAGGTAGACTTTTACTGTGAGTGGTGCTTTCAGAGTAAAGTGTCTGTGGGATCTCTGCAGTCAGAACTACTCTGTCCTGCCTACCAATGGCTCTTGCCTTCCACATGCCCCCTCCTGCCCACACAAATCTGGGCCTGAAAAGGGGCCTCATTGGGTGGAAAACACTGCAGGGATTCTTTGCCCAGAATAAGGGCTCATTGTCTGGCTCCAGCCTGCCCAGAGTGGGCCTCACTCCCACAGCTGGGATGGAAAGGGGGTGGGGTAAAGAAAGGCAGATGAGAATAAGTTCACAGAGGAAAGAAAGGGAGGGAATCTCAGGATCTGCAGAGGGTTAAATAGCCTTACTGCCAGACAAGCAGTCTGGGGGGAAGAGTCCTGGGCTACAGTACAGGACAAGTGGGTTCCACTGTTGGCTCTGCCCGATTCATCCAAATACTGACGAGCTGTCACTGTCCTCCATTTCCACAGTAATACCTGCCATGGCTGAGTTACAATGCTGTGAAGAGCCAATGAGATGATTAATGGAAAAGACCTAAAGACCTACGGAGGTTATCATCATGAAACCTACAGGGAAAATGTTAGGAGTTCATGTGGGACCTCAGGAAAGATATAGGGATCACAATGGGCCTTGAAAAGAGTATCTGAAGTGCATGTAATGTTGGAGGTCCATATGAGGATTCAGGCAAAATGTAGTGATCCACATGGGTCTTCATAAGAGTAGTCTGAGGTTCACATTGAAGTCTACAAGGGAGATGTTTGGGATCCACATGAAATATAAGGAAATACCTTAGGTTCATGTGGATACAACAGGACATATGTTGGGATTCCCATCTGATGGCCACAGACCACTTGTCTCCAGTCAGGAGAATCAGCATGGCCCCTATTTGGTAAACAACTGAGTTAGGAAGAGTACACGTCCAAAGTCACAATCTGGTTTTGTCCCAGGGACCAAGCCTGCTGTATTTAGGTAAATGGAAGGCAAACGGTGCTGTCACTAGTGGCAAACATTCAAGCAAATTTATATTCAACAAGCATTTGCGATTACTTACTGTGGCCTTGGAGGCCAGGATGGCCAAACTTCGTCTCTCATACTTTGGACATATTGTCATGAGGGACTAGTCACTGGAGAAGGATATCATTTGGTAAGGTGGAGGGTCAGAGAAAAAGAGGAAGACGCCCAGAGAGATGTATTGGCAAAGTGGCAGCATCAATGGGCTCAAGTGTGGTAACAATTGTGAGGTTGGCCCAAGATCAGGCAGTGTTTTGTTCTGTTGTGCATAGGGTCACTATGAGTAGGTACCAACTCAATGGCACCTAACAACAATAACAACTGGGGTTAAGAAAATGGACCTAGAAGGCAGACTACCTGAGTTCAAATTCCAAAATCTCTCCATCTTCCCAGCTGTAGAAATGTGAACAAGGTACTCATGCTAACTGAACTTAGTCATCCACATAAATAAAATGAAGATGATGATAACATCACCTGTGTCTTGGGACTCCTGTGAGGATGAAATGAGTTAACATATGTAAAGCATTTGAGACAGTGCTTGGTATACAATAAGTGCATAACTAACTCATATTGGTTTTAGTTATGGTTTTGAAGAAGAATATTAAAAGTACCATGGACTGCTAGAAAAAAAAAACAAGTTTGTGATGGAAGAAGTGCAGCCAGAATGTTCCTTAGAAGCCAGGATGGCGAGACTTTGTATCTCCTATTTCTGACATATTATCAGGAGGAACCAGTCCCTAGAGAAAGATAACATGCTTGGTAAAGTGGAGGGTCAGCAAAAAAGACAAAGACCACCAATGAGATGGATTGGTACAGTGGCAGGAGCAATGGGTTCAAGCTTAACAACAATTGTGAGGATGGCGCAGGACTAGGCAGTGTTTCATTCCATTGTGCATAGGGCTCCGTGAGTCAGAACCAACTCAACAGCAATTAACAACAGTCACAAACTCATGCTGTGTGCCAGGCACTGGGGACATGGTTTTCCCATGGTGAATGGAAGGAGTAAGAGAGCCTAAGCCAAATTTTGCAATAGTACTTAAAGGTTCTCAAAAGGGCAGTTAGCAAAAGCATGCCACATGGCTAAACCCAAAGGTGTATTCCCTTACAGAATACAAGGGGAAATCACATGGCAAATGATAGGAAGGTTTACTCCTATTTCTGGGAGGGAACAAAGAGCTGGGAACAATAATCCAATTACCCATGGGGCCAGTTCTAAATTACTTGTCTTTTCATGACCTGCTAAGGCTGAATGTGGCACTGTGGATTAATGCACCAGACTGCAAAGCCATTTGAACTTCAACCAACATCAGCAGTTCAAGTTCACCAGCTGCTCCTCAGAAGCCCTATGCAGGGTCGCTATGGGTCAGAATTGACTCCACAGCACTTAACAACAACAACAAAAGGCTGAATGAGGTATATCTACCCCAGGGTCTCTAAGAAAATAGCTATATTACAGGTTAGCAAAAATTCAAAAGAATAAAAGGATCGGCATCTATTGAACCCTTATTAAGTTTAAGTGAGAAACTAAGCCTTGTGACTATCCTATGATGTAAGTGCTATTATTCTTATTTTATAGATAAGAAAAATGAGGTGCAGAGAGCTGACCAAGGAAACAGAATGGATGGATCTAAGAAATGGGAAGATCTAGTGTCAGG